AAAGGCCATCACTTGTGAGTTGTCTCACTAACATCTCTGTTTGCCAGACATTTCAGTGCAAGGGCATAGCCATAATGCCCTGCAACTCTATCAGACAGTGCAGGGAGCATAAGTGCTCCCAAAGGAATCCCAGGAGTGTCCATTACCATCACCTGCTCATGCCTAGTAATTCAGCTGCAAATCTGAGTGAGGCCAAAAGCCATGGAAATGACTACTCCAATTAAAAATGAGACTTTTTATTTAAACAAAATAAAGCCAACCCCTCCTGCTCCGATACCAAGCCCAAGCTCCAGCTGGGAAATTTGGGTAGAAACAGTTATCAGTGCAGCATTAAGGTTTCTTACTGAGCTCTTGTATCCACAAAACTCACTTTCCTACCAGTTTGCTTCCTAAAACAAACAAGTAGGGGTGAGAATTCATACCAGCTCTGCTGGGCTGTGCACTTAAGAGACTCTTCCTGAACAGGTGTCCCTTAATCTAGCCCTTTAATTAGCATGGAGACACATCAAACCCACAGCTGTTAAATGTTACAACATGATCCTCCTGCATGCGATGACACCCAACACTGGACTTACTGATAACTAAGTGCATGTCACATACTCAGCTCCTGCTCTTTAATTACCTCAGTGGCCCTTGCAGACTTTATATAACTATATTATAAAACATAATAAAGAAAAAGGCCACAATTGACATCCTTTTAGTACAACACTGAAAGCAGACAGGCAGAATCTACCACGGTACGCTGCTTTCCTTTACATGAAAAAAGCCAAGCCACTGCAAGTAAGCCCTTCATTTCCTGCAGAGAGCCTGGGTGTGCCCAGGGAATCCAAGAGTACAGTCACAGTACAGTCACTCAGTTTAGCTACACGTAGCACAGTGACTGCAGCGGAGCGTTTGCACAAGGCTTCCATTGCTGATTTCAAGTGTTAACAGTACTAGAATTACACACTGCGAAGGCGTATAGCAGGACACTTCCCAGCCAACTGTTGGAAAATCTGAAATCTGCTGAATGCCGAACCCGCAAAGATGAAATGCCACTGTGCACAGTCAGCGCTGTGCTACCAAGGATGCTGAAAACTGAATCTGATTTATTTAAAGGGAACACAAACTACTGGAATTACATACTGTTGCCTGTCATTACCTCTGTAAACGCTGTATCACTAGGAAAGTCTTTCTTGAGGGTACAAAGATTATGTCATTTCTTCTTTTTCAACACTTAGCCACAGCTGGAGCAGGGAAGGAAATGGTCTTATTTGTTGCCTGCCACTCTTCTTGACCTGATTTTTTTTTTTTTTCTGGTGGGTTAAAAGTTGGTGTACTGAATGGCTTCTAATGGGGTGGAGCAAGGTAAGCAGGAAGGGTCAGGAGAGTTGGAGGATGAATGGTTGTTTTGGAATGGTTTTGGTTTTTCAAACATTGTTTTGGTTTTTTATAGGGAAAAGGGTTTACAGCTTCTTTCCAAGAATCTCAGGTCTAGTTCTATCCATGAGTCTGGAAATGTCTCTCAGTTGACTGCCCTCCTATGAGAACCCCCCCCTGGATCTGTGCTCCCACCTGCATCTTTCAGGAGATGCAGGGGTACTTCACGGGTTCTATCCTAAGTGCTGATATGGGTCAGACTTGTGTCTGTTGTAGCAAAGAAGTTTTTTGTTTCCACTTGAACTGTGGTCTGGCGACCATATTTTGATTCTCCCTTTAGATACTGTTTATATTGTAAGCCTAGGTAAACACATTGGGGACCAAGGCATACTGTGTTAGCTAGTGCGCAAACATACAAGCAGCCTGATAAATGAGACCTTTGGCTAGTGAAAGCAAAACAAACAAATTCTGTCTTTCCCTTCTGACTCCAGAGCTCCCTGTTGCTGTAGCACAGGAAGAAACTGCAGATTACGGATAGTGATTGCACAGTCACTTAAAGTGCAGTTTACTAAGAACAAGCTTAAAATAATCTTTTCTTGGTCAGGTTATTTTTCACCAAGTCCACTTCTCATCATTGCAGAGCAGTTATTTTTGTAATCTCACCGCTACAAGAGTTTTTAGTAAAACTTTTTCATTGTGAAAAAATACAGTAGTATATGCTTTATGTCCTTTGGGGAAAGCTTGAATGGACTAGTGGTTACTCAAGTTTTTCTTTAGGCTTTGATTTTTTTCATGCGGTGCTTTCACTGAAATGTGCAAACAGGGTAGGTGTTCCTGTAACAGGGGACACAAATCTTTCCTATTTTTCAGATGAATCACGCAAGTCAGTGCACAAGAAAGACAAGAATGAAAATAAAATCTGTGTCACTTTCTGGTAACATGGCATTTAATTTGCCAGTAATCCCATGGTAATTGCCTCTGTGTGTGTGTGTGTGTGTGTGTGTGTAAAAAATTATCAGTCCACAGTAAGTCATGGCACAGCTCCATATCTTATCATCTTGTCATACAGTGATACATTCATGGTTTATTACTCTACATAAAAAACTAGTTTAGGGATGGAACAGTAAGAGTGCAGATCAGTGCTAAATAAATATACATCCATACAGCAGATGCTCTACAGTTCTGTCTGTTACTTTGCCCCTGGCCACAGCACATTTAGCAATAGATAACTGCCAAGTATTTGCTTTGTGATTTTCTCATAAGGAAACTTTTATATTTTCACAGGAATTGTCAAGACCTGTCGCTGTTTTGTCATCTTCGGAATATGGGAGACGCATAAATAAGCCTATAGAGCAGCCAATCAGAGATCATGCAAGGATTAATCATGTGCAGGTGGAATTCTACAGGAAAAATGGCATTACCTGCTTATTGGAAAAACCTTCTCCAAGCCTGGATCCATGCTAAATCTCTTGTATCTGTCATCACTGGCAATATTTATGTGGGAAAAAACCCACCTCACATCAAAAAGCAATATGGTGGTTTTGCCTTTTCCTCTACATTTTAGTTAATTATTTGAATTAAAAATAGGATGAAATAGCAGCTGTGCTTTTCCTCATGGTAATTCAAATGCATGTCTTTTCCTTGCAGTGTCATAAAAATCTCATGAAGAGTAGCATCAGCAATATATGAACATTTTAGGCAGCAACACTGGAAGTGAGACCTGTTGGGTCAACAGTTGTCTCCGCAATTTTAGGCAGTGCTTCTACATAGCTTTTCACAGACTTAACATTTGAGCAAGCTTGCTCCTCAAGGTATCAGTGGTCACTGACTTCTTAATCCTTACAGTGTTGCTATGGAATTACAAGGCATCATTTTATCTTCACAACAGCTGAAACCGGGATTCAACACAGATTTTCCAAAATGGATGGGCTTACCCATAAATAGGCAAGTGAAGAAATGATCTGACTTCCAGAAGTGCTTGGCAGTTTCAGCAGACTTCACATGGAAGTCAAGTTAAAAGGGAGCTTCTGAGTACTTAGCATTTAAATAGACAAAATCTGGTCTTAGCTGATTTCAGACATCCATTTCATTATACATGAAATGTCTGAGGGATTGAGCTGTTCAAGAAAGACACAAGGAAAAATCATCTTTGTTTCTGTATCCAATGATGAAAAAAAAAAATGTAATACTAGCAGAACAAGCACTAAATACTTTGGTAGAAAGCATGAAAAAAGCACAGGATTTGAGCAGTAGTCATTCAAAATGCATGTTTAGAGTAAATGTCTCAACCTGCTCAAATGTTTAGTGCCTTGTATTCTCACAAATCCAATACTAAAGCTTTAAGGTAATTTCAGGAGAAGGAATATCTCCTGCAGGGTATGCATCAGTTTGGTTCATCGAGAGCCATTGATCCTGCTGTTGTTTAAAGCTGAGACAGTTTAGTTCAGAAGGGAAAAACTGCCAGACTGGTCGTACCAGAACAAGGACTGGAAGTCCACAGCTTTGACTGACACTGGCATACTTTCATGTACTTACACACAGGAAACCTCTATCATTTGTGAACACAGTGGGTCTTTCTAGTAAAAAATAATAAAAACAAAGAACTTCTTAATCTGTAAATTAGGCAATCAATAGCACTTGTTTGTCATGATGTGAGGAGAGCACACAGAGAAGCCCATTATGAAAGGTGTTTGTTACTTTCATTATTCACGATCTGCAAATTCCTCTATATTCAGTGAGAAATAGAATGCAACTGCCACATTCCTTTTCAACAATAAATACTTCGTTAAACAAATCCAGCAGCATTAAATGAAAGGAATCACAGTACCAACAAAGTGAGAAGGAAATGTTTCCTAACAATACCAGAATGCTTTTTCAAAACTCAGTATCAAATGTATGCCAGTGAAGAACGAGATGGAATATGTCCATATTCTAAGCAGGTTATTTTTAGTTTGGGACAGTCAGTACGAATTACTTCTTTTAAGTAGTTGTACTATATTTACAAACCATCTGTGTTTGAAAAAACTACTGGAAAGCAAATTTGTTTGAGAACACCACCACCTTCTGGCCTGTGTGAGAAACGGGTTGTCTCCCCTGTGGAGAAAGTCGTCGGTCATCAAAACAGCAGTATGTGTTTTCCTGTCTCGTTTCTTTGCTTATGTCACCCCTTCTCTTTCAGTCTCTTGTCGTCCCTCACCTTTGAAGGCTTTTCAGAGGTTGTCCCTCCTACTACGTGTTTCTCATTCAGTTCTGAGTGGTTGACTTCTCACTTCAACTCCCAATTAGCGTCAAAAGAATACCTTGACAGTTTCTTCTGTATCAGGGAGAAGTTCCTTGTAAATGTCTGCAAAGACATTTCAGTCATTCTCCTCAGTCTGTCTTTACTAGGATGACAACTGTTAGGTTACCGATGTGCTATAAGCTTCCTATTACACTGTTGAAAAGAATCTCATTACCTCTTGATGCTCCCTCACTTGTCAGTGCTGATGTACTGCAGTAAGGGTTTTATACATGCAACAAATTAACATGAACAGAATGCACAGCATAACACAGTGTAAATCATATTTTAGTTCACAGGATGCACAAGCTAACTTGAAAATGTGTTTTTCATGGCAGTTCATTAAGTATACATTATGCGGTTAGAACTAAGGCCATATTATTTTGCCTTCATCCATCTACAAAGCAACACACTGACCCAAGTTAGGAACACTCGTTCCAGCTGAAGTGATTACTAGTTTCAGTTCTCAGTTCCACCCTTCTGCCAGAATTTATACTCGTACACAGAAAAGGACTGCATAGGACATAGTTCTTCTGAGCTTCAGAGCGAAATGAGTTTGAGTTTAGGCTTGAGTGGCAGGCTGTAAACTGAAGGAACGCTGGAGCGCATACATGACCCCGTTTTAGACAGCTGAGCTAAAACTGCCACCAAAGACAAAACTACAAATAGTACATATCCGGAACTTTGGGTGGCCCCCACAGAGACAGCTGTGCAAGTCCATGACCCTGTGGCAGCTGTTCTTTTACAAAGTAAAGCAAATCTTTTTAATGAAAATGCTCTAATTTTCTGTAAGGCATTGCTATTTAGTGAACAGCACTCTCTGTCTCTGAAGTATGAGCAATAAGCCAATACTGCTTATGCAACTACTGCAAATTTTAGTTTTACAAAACATTTCGGAAATCACACAAACAGCTATGAGTGAATTGCACAATTTCTTTTTATTCTGTCAAGAAAAGCCCTGATTGGTAGGTAGCATGGCACATTCTGTACATTCAGACCAGCCAGTATCCTTTAATACTCACATCTGTCCATTTGCAGCTGTTTGTTAGAACCAGTGAAAGTACAAAAGAAACACAGCACTGACTGTCTGACACTTAAATCTGTTAACTTAAAATAAATACTGACACAAGACTTATGAAAATACATTGTTCTTTATTACTCTTTACATATCAATTGTCCCAAATATTGGAAGTTCTCATATTCAGAAGCTCAAATTATCTTAGGTGGAGTTATTTATAAAACAGAATTGTTCTTCCATGCGCAACATTTACACTTTACAGTACAGAAGGTCAACTATGATTTAATATTTTTCTCCAGTGTCAGCAGCTGAGTCTACATGTATGAGGAAAGATTTTTTTGTGTAGATATTCTGCCATTTTTCTGGAATTTTGTAGACTCTCTATCTCAAAAAATGGAATCTGGAAACAAAACAAAAATGATTGCAGGAAATACCCTCTAATAAACAACTGGGTAAGACTGATATTCATTAAGCAGATGTAAAATTACGTATCAAATATTTGTCTGGTTTAAAATTAAACATTTAATCCTAAATGTGTTATTGATTTGTAAATCACCTGAATAGAGATTATTGTAAAACAAAGAATGACACCCATTACAGTTTAAACTAAGTTAAGTATAATGGATTGAGGCTTATGTGATAAGTGATTATAAATGGAAAGGAAAATCTAAAATAATCTACAAGTAACTGTTGTGGTCCAAAGTATGTTTAAAGATAAAAATATCCCTTTTAATTCAACAGATTGTACTCTTTCAAAGAATATACTCTTGTGAAAATATTTACAGTACAGCTCATTTTTTAACTCCTTTTTTGTAAACTCCAAATTCAGACCTTTTTCAAAAAGTATTTAATTAAAAATCCCAATTCTACTGAACTCTTACAGAACATTTTCCTTTAAGTCAAGATTTGAACCTTAATCTCTGCAGAGAAGTACTCTTTCAAGCAGCTACTATTTGGCAGAAAACACAGGCAGAATACACTAATTGATCCAAGGAAGAAAAAGGAATTTCTATAATACCCTCAAATGCGCAAAAGGCAGAAAGAACATAATATAGAAAAGACAAGATTACATCTGCCTTGGGCAGTAATTGCAAGTACGGTTTTAAGCATTATAAAATAATCATTTTTCACTTGTTTTGTTAGCCAGAGCAAAAGCAAACCACTGACTTTGAACTTTACCTGCACAACTTCATAACCGAGCAACTGAAGATGTCTCTGTTTAATAGCTTCTTCTCCCAAAAGATTGTGGCTATTAACACAAAATCTATTTTGACCATCAACACAGAGGGCAATTCTAAAATCAAGCACAATTGTAAAAAAAAAAAAAATAAAAAAAAATCAGCTATTTTAATCACTACAACTACTGCAGTTCCTAAGAAGCATGGAACAATACCTCCACTCTTACTCCCTAATGCCTCCAAGAATTAGATGTTGTGAGATGGAAATTACCTGGTTCAGAACAATTTAAATCAATCAATGTAAGGGTGGGAAAGGGAAAGCCTGAAGCTTAGTGAAACTGATTGGAAAAGCTTATTTATATGCTCTGAACAAAAGTTACCATACAATAATAGAGTTTGATATTTTTAATGCTACTATTGGTAAGTTATTTTGAATTCTTCTAGAAGGAAAATCATACAAAATACTTGTCTCAGCTTAAAAACATTTCAGCAGCTAATTTATTCATTAGTGTACCTGTTAAACTGTCAGAGTTAAGTTAAAGCTAAATCTGTTTTAAGTTAAACCTGTACATAGGGTTGGCAGCATCAAGGATTATAACTATATTTTTAATCCTTGGTGATAAAAATCACATCAAACCAAAATTATATCCACTGTATACCCACTGTAAAAAAGTTGCTTAAATTTTCAGTATGTTAAATACAGTATGACCTTATTTACACATGAAAGCTGCAATTAAAAAAAAAAATAAAATCAAGCCCATTCTTAAACATTTAAGCATAGGATTTTTGAAAGAACCTATATTAGTGTGATTCTTGTGAAAGTTAAGCTCAAAAAACCATAACCTTTTCAAATATTTTTGCTTTATCCACAGAAGTGCAGTTGCAAATACCACACAGGCAGGTTACTTAACTTTGTATTCAAGGTTTCTCAAAATAGTTCTTGTTTAGCATACTTTTTAAACATCTATGCACTTTTCAGTAAAAACAGCATCTGTAGCAAGTATCATCATTACATGGGATTCCTTACAGAAGTAAATTTGTGAACTCAAACTAGCTTAAACTGTGTTAAATCTACAGAGACAGGCTCAATTAGAATTCATTTGGTTTTTATTTGAAAATGAATTACAGAAGATCAAAATACAGTACTATAAGCCAAATCAGGATCACTTTGATATTGACTGTCACTCAGTAAAGAGAGTCTGACACTGTATAGTCAGGAGGCAAAACAATTAGTAAAAAGTACAGAATGTTAATTTTGCCAGCATTGTCCTTTTGACAGTAGTTTCAATGTGAAGTCTGAACTTTTTTGACGTTAATGGAAAACTCCAAGCTCAAATTTTGCCAGTTTCACCCTGAATGCTCTTTGTCAATGTTAAACAACATTTTACCAGTGTTTTCTTTTATTCTCTTACCGTCTGTATACCTCTTCGCACTGGGTAGCAGGCAATACAAAACCTTCTTCATCTAATTTAATCTCAATATCTAATATAAATGAAAAGAGAACTGATATTAAAACTCTTTCAATACAACAAACTCTTTACTGCAATTCTCATCCCCTTACAGTTCATTGTTTTATAAAATAACTAAAATACTGTTGCAATACCTTTTTCTGAATCACAGAGGCTTGCAAAAGACGTGTGTAGACTATTTAACACAAATGAGTGATAATAAGTAACACTTCAGCCTTTCAAAATGCTGACAGCAAAGTAGTGTTCCAAATCCACTAAAAACCATAATGTAGTGAAACAGCACTTCAGCAGGCTGCCTAGGGCCTCTGGAATTTTGACAGTTTTGGGGAGAGACACACTCACACTCTTACTCACTTACTCCCTCCCTCCCTGCCCCTCCCCCTTTATTTTTTTCTCACTAATTCCCTAATTTTATAGATTATGTCAATTTGAAAACTGAGTTTTGGACCTAAACCCTGCCAACTTCAACCCCACGTAGATGCTGAAATGCAGAATAATTCTGGAATTGTCCATCTCCATTTTTTTTAAAAAATCCCTCCACTGGTCCTTCCCTCAAACTGTTATTTTTCATCCACTCCTCCTGGGCACACATCTTTCCTCATCATTATCTTCTCTGCTTCCTTTCCTGGTGCATGAAACACTGTTTTGATCACTCCTCCAACAAACCCCCACTGACTATATGTAGTCAACAGTTCTTGCTAAGGGGAGAGGAGCCCAGCTGAACAGGGCAGAGGGCTGACAACCACAACCTTCTATAGCTCTCCTTTCCCTACTCATCACCAAAGCAGAGAGATCAGGCAAGTGGCATTGACTTTTTTTTTTTTTTTTTTTTACATCATACAAATTGGTTACAGGATAAGTAAAAGAGGAGCCTAAAGTTTTGACAGCATAAGCAAACATTTTATTATTAATCTAAAGAAATGTTACTTACCAACCATATAGAAATATGGTGTTGATACCTCTGATGCAAAATATATTCTTTTTTTCAGTAAATAAAGTAATCCAGTCTTCACCCTCTTGAGGAGGTGAACATCCTGAGAACTGTGAGGCATGAAAAAAGCCTTTACTTGGTACTTTGGAAGGAGTTTGGGACCCTACATAATGACAGAAAACCAAATCAAACAAAAGAAAAAGGGAGATTACATTTTTGTAGTTACCTCCTATTAATGTAGCAAAATGTATTCTGTGCATATCAAAGCCATGTCTATGAAGTGACCTACACTCTGACGTATGCTTTGCTGGAAATTTATAAAAAAAAATACCCCAAAGCAACCACCAGAACATCTTCAGCAAGCTTCTATGCTATCACGCTGAACATATTGCTCATGTGAAATGCACAACTGTTTCCATTCCTCTCCAGTCAGGCCAACATCAAAGTGCCTGATCTCTTTTGTGCTCTAAGACTTCACAAGCCAAACATAAAAAAGGAGTATATGTGGGAAAAGTACTCAGAAATACACAAAAAGCACTTTAACTTAGAGCTAGTCAATTCTGTCAAACATAGAAATATATCAAGTCCATCAAACAGGTAGAAATGCTTCACATTTTCCTCAGTGAAAAAAAAAGCTGTTTCATCCAATTCCAATGTTTTTATGAGGAAGACACTCCTCAACTAATTAACAACAGGGCCCTAATGACCATATCTCCTCTTAACATCAGTTCTGGTTTCATATGTACCATACCTCATAAAATGGGCACTCCAGGGTAACAGTCAGAAAAAGCTGGGTTAGCTGGGAGGTAGCAATTCTGTCCAAACCAGGTGGCTGAGCTGAAACAACAATATTCAGGCTTTCAGGTGTACCTTCAACAAAGTTAGGAAAAGCTATCCAATTTAACATGCAGAGAAACCACTTGATCATTGTTTGAATGAACAGAAGGATCAGCTGTGAAATGATGTAGTTAGAAAAATGAAATTATTTACAGAAATGACACAAAAATACACAACTAACAAGATCTTATTTAAGACTGTCATATTCTTTCACAAAAAAGATAAGGATGATCTGAGATCATTTCTTTCTTCCTACAGTCCCTTCCTCTTAAGTTATAATCCCAGGATCTCACTGTTTTATTCAGTTGTGTGGGATTTTTTTATCTGAAAGTAGTGGATAATACTGAATAATTTCTGGATATTTGTCTACAAGTGTATACTTGAAGCATCTTTCATGTTACAATGCAAAGTATTATACGGAATTGTAAAAACCTGATGTAGTGTAAGATGCTAATCATGCAGGTCATCTTCTCAAGTTCCTGTTCTGAACTTTGACCACTCTGGTGGAATACCTTCATTGATTTAGAAGGACACATTCAAAGTAATTGGTACTGTGAGGTTTCTCATTTTCTAAGTATCATCTTGAGAACTTTAAAAGACATTCTGTTTTTTGGGACATGAGACATGCCTGCTTTCTAAAAATCAATCCCTTAAGGCATTTCACATTGAACAGCTAAAAATCGAGTGACCAAAGTTTCCGATCACTTTGAAAACTTGCCCTTATATAGTTTTATTAACAGAGCAATCTTAGCTGGTATCTTGAGAAGTTACTTATCTTTCCGATAATAGCTTACATATCCCTATAATGCTGTTAGATATGCTTTACTGCATATCACAGAATTACTTGAAATCTATAGTTTAAAACTGTGTTGTTCATAATAGGTTTGTCTCCAAAAGCATAGGATTATGCAATAGAACCAAGGACAGGCTATCACATGGGGGATGTCCTAGAAGCTCACTAGATTGGGGAAAAAAAAAAAAATAAGCGAAGGCAGCACTTGCAAACAAGACAGTCTTAGAAGCAGTGGGTGAGCGGATTCCGTGATCTCCTAAGCAAAACAGAATAAACCATGAGGTAGATTTTTAAATTTCATAATGTTTTCCTCAGCATGGTAAGACATAGGCCCAAGGATGGGACTATAGTGCTTGATCAGAGGCAGAAAGGAAAGGAGCTTAGGCCATGGAACAATGACGGGCACAGGAAGCCTCCACCAGAGGAGTGGTGTTGGCAGAGAGGATTGCAGCAGAAAGAAGCATCACATAACCATATGAGATTTTAGATTAAATGTAATTTAAAAACCAGAACAAAGCACCAGTCTTTATGTTTTGTTTAAACATATGTGAGCCTTAGAATTTTACATTTTTACCTAGATAATTAACAAACCCCATACCAGTCTATCCTTAATTGCTCACATTTATGATGCTGTTATGTTTTACTGGTTCAGATCTCACTTTAGTTTTAATTAAGCCAACCATTATGCACTGCAAATTAATTTTGTTCAGCTTTATCCATTTACCCTTTTCAGCTTTCACAAGCTGATTGTAATACAATATGAAAGAGAAATACAACCAAACTGGAAGCAAGAATATAACACAATAATCATTATCCTGAAAGGACAGAAGAGTAGAGATGACAGCAGAAGTCCAGACCTGGTTCTACCCTACCCCTACCTGAAGGACATGATGCAGGTTGACAGAAGGTAAGAAACAAAGCGCTAGAATCACATGCAATGAACCTTACTTGAATCATAAGGCAAAATAGTATTTTAAAATGACATTTTGTACGGCCTGAGATTTACAAATTCTGTGTATTTAATTGTAACATGTTCTTATCAATAACAGTCATTTAAATTCTTTTTGTCCCAATGATACACTTCACCTCACTTCTCTCTAGAGTTTGTACTAATCTTGATCAAAGTTTACAAGGATTTTTAGACTATTTTTTAAAATGCAACAATGAATTTTTTCCATAGCAATAGGTGAGCTAGGTGATTGTAAGTAAGCTGTGGAGCAGTTACTGTAACTTTTCTTGCATATTATAATTTGGTTGTAATTTTAAAAGCTACAAAAAGCTGACAACTGTGATCATGTACCTTGCCCTTTGAGCTTCAGGAAGAGTGGTTTTGACGCTTAGGAAAATATCCACAAATAAGGATTATGCAAAGTCACAGAGGACTTAACCTTAAAAAGACAGGCAGAGAAATCATAAATCTACCCAGCAGTGCACAAGCAGAAGGTAATTATTTTAGCTTCACAATCAGCACTACTAGTATTCCTATTGTTTTTTTAAATGTATTCCTTTGGGCTAGCCCCTGAGTAAAATGCCTAAGAGCCAGTCCTAACCCTAAGGATTACGATATCCAAGTAAGCAAAGCAAACAATTGTTGGGGAAGAGACACAGAAAAGTGAAGTGACTTGCCCAAAGCCACAAAGTAAATGGAGGGCTACACCCAAAATAGAAGTCAAGTCTTAGGACTCACTATCCAGTGTTCCACCTTTATGCTACATCCCTCATGTGGCAGACATTACAATGCAGCAATTTAGAGAAAAATGAACCCAGAATCACTAAACTATATTTTTACTCATACAACATTCCAAGTATCATTGCCATTTAAAAAATATACCACTTTTGGTCTGTCTTGTTAGCTCTATACTAACTGGTCTCAACATCCTTTCTAGTGTTACCCGTCTCATAGTAAGTCTCACTTCATTGTGAGTATTCACATAAGTCACTGCATAGGCACATAGGAAGTTTAAACAGCCAGAGTTAAAAGTAACACATTTCCTTTACAGAATAACTTAGCATTTAAATCCTGTATGAGACAAAGGACAAATGTGGAAAACCAGGTCAGTACTTTTTAGAAAAGTAGAAAAATTAACCAAAATAGAATTTTTAAGGGAATTCAAATCTCTGCTTAAGATAATACAGTGCAATTTTCAAACTCTCCTAAATGATACAAACTGAAAGACCACTGCAGCTGTGACAAGGAAGCAACAGCCTTTGGCCTCCTGATCACTACTCTGCAGTCACCTTAATCAGGCCATTGTTGATTTGACAGATGAAAGTGGTTAAGAAATGGATGCTTGACAAGAGACGTCACATAATAGAAAGAAATGCAGACCATCACAAGAGACCATCACTGCTCCTTACCTTGAAGCTGTTGCAGAAAATAAGGACTAAATATTTTTGGCAGAAAATTTACTGGGTAACGTTGAATAAGGACACACGAGTGTAGCAGGCTCAGCAAGGTGTGAGGCTGAAAGTGACTAAGGCGAGTATGCAGTACCATTTCAAGCTTCCTAAACAAGGAAGAAGCACTTGGAGGCAGATAGTTAAGAGTCCCAAACGGTATAATATACCCAGCAATCTGGTCAGTGGTAAATCTGTCAGCATCAGAAATGAAACCTTCTGCCGCTGCATCAAAGATGGGCTTAGAAAGGATCATCTTTTGGCAGCAGTAGTGCATGACTTTGCTGACTGTTTGAGGATGCATAGTGAAGATGGACTTGGGAATGTGTGTTTCCAGTGCCTCTGTAAAAATCTGTTCCCGATGTCCAAAGTATAGGAAGGCTTCCAGTACATTTACCAGTTCATCATCAGTGAAATATGGAGTATGCTTCACAGAATGTTTACACAGTGCTGTGACTAAGCGAACTGCCCGAGTCTGATGAAGAACAACCAGTGAATTCAGTATTATGCTTGTGAACTCTGGGCTTAGCTGGGAAACTATGGTTAAAGTGACACTGTTCAGTCTGTCCAGAAAGCCTTGGTATTTTTCCCCTTCCCTGACAGTCACCTGAAGCATCCTATAAACCATCACTATTTCTCTAGGACTCCACTTCGCAACGTCTTTTGCTTGCATGTGGTTCACAATTTGTTCCAGCATCGCACAACTTGGGCCTTCCAACTCAAGCAAGCTCTCTCCGAAAGCACACAGATTTTTAGTAGTCAGCTGTCCTTTACCAAGCCGTTCCTCACACTCTGCAAGCAAGCTTGCCATCAGTGTACTCTGGGGATCTATATGTAGTTTTATCAAAGCTTGCAATGCATTCAGCAGCCCAGTGTTTGACAGTTTTGAGGATTCAAATTCAAACTGGAAGCATAATGCCCTGAAAACTTCATTCTCTAACACTCCTTCAGGGTTTTTCAGACCACTGCCATCCACCTCAACTTCAGAAATCCTCTGCAGGGCTCCTGAGGCCATAGTGTCAGACATGACTTCCAGAGAGCTAAGAAAGTCAAAAATCTCTTTCGATGTACAAAGGCTGTTCAACTTCTTGAAAAATAGTTGTTCATCTATCCACATGTTATTAGATTTAGTACTGCTCTCAGTATCTCCACAAAGATACGCAGTTTCATTAACTGAAAGAGACTGCATCCGTAGTTGTACGTGTTTTTTTCTACAAAACACATACTGAGATTTATCTCTGAAACATAGCTTCCTCATGGCTACAGAGCTACAGTTTTGGGGCTCTCGCTGTCCACTGATAAAGCTCAACCTTTTGCTTAGAGTCATCAAAATGAACCTCCTTGCTGGTGTACTGGATGAATAAAACTGGAAACTTTTTTGGCTAATCAAAGCCATATTGGATCCAGCAGGTTCTCAAAACATACCTAGAAGAATAAAAGTACATGTAAATGTATAGCTTGGAAAACTGTAAGTCTCATTGAAACGCAGCCAAAAAAAACTTCTAGCAGCTGGACAGGACTGGGATGATCCCTCTCCCACGACCACAAGCACCACAAAGAGCAAATAGAAAGAACTGCCGGGACCGGCAAGACCTGTGTGGTGAGTGGCAACGCACCTCTGCCCCGCGTCCCCAGGAAAACACTGTGGAGGACACACAGAGAGCGGCACACAGACAAGCTGCCACCCCCCACTCCCCAGGCAGGCACTGCACGGCGGCGCGTTCCCCTCCACCCCGGCGGGCCGGGGCGCTGGGCAGCAGCGTGTCACACCGCTG